CCCCCCCCCCCCCCCCGCTCGCATCGCGCACATCCACGCCCGATCGCACAAGCGGCGACATCTGTCGATTGATCGGCGACAAGCGCAGCAGACCGTTTTAGTGCCGAATTCACCCGCGAGGACCCGCCGCCGTTGGTAAAGCAGACATTCGCGTCGCGATTAAATCGCACTGCATTATTGCAATGGTTGTTGTGGAGCGTCGACCGTCGAGCTTGCATTTATGTTATTGAACCCGCGTGGAGAGCCAACATGACAGGCAAGCAGAATCAGCCGGACGACAGCGAGAACAATCAATCGCGAATAAAACTGATCGCGGACAAACGCAGACTCTTGGACGAGAAATCCGCTCAGGTATGATAATTCACCTGCACCTCCCTACGTTTATGCAAATCTACTAGATCCCGTAGCGTACTTTTCGCTGCACCGCAGCTTGTATGTTTTCTGTGTTTTTGTTTGCTACTTTACAAAACAAGTGATAAACGGTATAATTTTGTGATAAGAGCTGCCACTGTACATGGCATTTACCTAAAGCAGAACGTACGAAGTAATGTATGTACATTTTTAAATTAAAGTCTCTGTACTTGGAGACAAGATGGGAGCATCCGTGGAAATTATTCTCCTTTCCCCTTGATTTTCGACTCACTGTGGAAATCCTTATAACTATCCTCTTCAATTATATTTTTACTCCCTCCATCTGTAATCTGAGTTTTTTTGTTTTTTTACAGTCCAAATTTTATACTGTTTTAGACTTTCAGAAAAAATTCAGGGTTTTTCTTTTCAACATCTCTATTATTAATCTTTTGACTTAAATGTTAAAATCTTTATTTAATAAAAATTGAAATTTTAGCAAAAATGAGGCTGTTGGGAGTCAAATTTCGTTTATGTGAAAAAAAACTCAAATTGCAGACATAGAGTTAAAGATGGATTTGAATTAATTTTTATGCACAAAAGTAAATTTAATATATTGCAATGTACAGTTCATAAAATCATTATTTGTAAATGGTAATAAAAGATGCTGTGAAAGAATATAAAATAAATTTTTATTCAATAGTAATTAATATAATACATAGAATGTTTCAAAATAGAATATCGATAATATCTTAAAATAATCGTTGTAAACTGTTTTTTATATATAATCATAAAATTACGATAGAAAAATACAATTTGCAGGTTGAGGCAGAAATCAGAAGCTGTTTTGAAGGTCTAACAAAACTCCTGCGATCTAGAGAGAAGCAACTGCTCCGACAAGCCGAAGCTATTCACAGGCAGCAACTTTCTCTAATAGAGACTTCATTAAATTTCTTACCATCGTCAGTAGTGGTCCTGAACGATAAGAACGAATTAGAGGAACAGATACGCCAGTTTGGTAATATTGAGACGCATGGATCAAGTAGTATTACAGTAAAGGATGTGGAGCCATATAAAGTTGCAGATTATCAAGATGCTAATAAGGATCATGTCAGTTTTGACAAATCAATCACCAAATCATCAGATCAAAAAGCCAGAGATCATCTGAGCCTTCCACGTTGCAAAGATTTTATATCTGACTACAGAACTGTGCGTATTTCAAGTTTGCCTTCCACACTCTTCACTAATAATGAGCTGCGAGATTCGCATAACATAAAGGCTAATGCATTAAAGATTTTTAAAGACACCTTATCCATATCAAGGTGCTCGCCGCTTTTGATTATAAAACGTAAACTTGGCCTGACACACGTATCCTTGGACGGACTGCACGCTTTTGACAAAGCATACTCACAGAATGTACAGTCCTTCGGGATGTCTTGTATGACTACAGAATCTTCCGAGCTAGATAAATTGACAAACGAAGCATCTGAAACTAATTTGCGAGAATTTGATAAAGAAGTCTTGGATCGGGATGATTCCGAAATAATTAGATCTCCAAAGGAACGAGAGAAAAACGATGAGCATCCTGTACAGATACAGCAATGGTTACAGCAGATACTTGCAGAGACCGAGATAGAGCCTGCGATTTACGAAATCGGACAGTTTACAGAGATATCAAAGGCAAAGCTCTGTAACGAGCTATAATTCTATTTGACGATCAAATTAGAAATTCTTACATTGTGTTTCAATTGGGGCCAAAGTTTCCAAAACGATGGAAAGCAAACAAAAGGCTGATCTACCTTAGAATTGCATGCCCGATATTCTTAATTTATACAGTCTCTCGTAAAATAAATTGGAGACAGTGTAGCTTTTCCGTGATCACAGAGGAACGTAAGAAAGGATACCAAATTTGAATGATAAAGAGAGAAAGAGAAGAGAGAGTAAAAGATTTATTGTGTACATCGATAAACTTTAGTACCTCTGCTACAGTTGCTTAATATGTGGTATTCCTTGTTAATACAACGAATACTTCGCCGTTCTTAAAACAAAGATTGATTAGTGCCCTTTTGAAAAATGTGCTTAAAAATCCGAAATGTATAATTGCTAAGACTGTTTTTATTCTATTAAAAATATCGCGTATTTATTTTACCGTGTATAAGTTTTTAGTTTATATAGAAACTATGCTTGTCAAGGAATTTTGACAACAAGTGAATAATCTTATTGCGATCATTTCTTCAAGTGATATCTTTTTTACAAATAAAAATTTACGATTGTACGACATTGTTGTAAATAATTAATTTATCGTCGTATCATAATTCCATTTTCTTTCCACTTACATGACTAAATTGTGCGTATGCATGTAGTTGTAGATTCTGCAATCAATTAATTCATTACCCCCCCCCCCCCCCCCCCCCCCATCAGCTATCAGCATTAAACAGAAACAATCTAAGATTATTATTATTGCATTTTATCATTACTAATACTGTTGAACAAATAATATTATATGTTGAAATGAACTTTATATTTAATACTATGAGAAATTAATATCCTGAATAGATAAATTTTTGTTATACTAGAAATTAGCACTCCTATAATCAGTGATTAAAAATATTCATTATTTTCATTAATTTACATTTATATGCTCACGCGTATAATTTTTTGTTAGTTTTATTTTTTTAATCCTAAACTGTATAAATCTGGCGTGTGTTTTATAAATATTAAAAGTAAGAAAATTATAATTTTATAAAAATTATTAAAATCTGCAGGTAAAAATTTGTTTCTAAATATTAATCTTTTTATTGTGTTGTATCAATATATGTATGATATATTTATGAAATCATTACGAAAATTTTATTGTAACGATACAAATTTATTATACCGATATGTGTTAAGATGTTTTATACTGTTTAGGATTAATTGAATGCATATATATTTATTTATCTTCTCAATTATTTAAATCAGAGGAAAACGCTTGTTAGAAAAATAATTTATGCCGATATAATTTTGTCGTTTTTACATCGAGCCTGTCTAAAATACAGAATGTATTTATACATATGTATATATGCGATATATATGATATACATCGACATATATGTATCAATGTACAAGTTTCTGCGGACAAACAAACTGACCGCGATAAAACTATTTAACAAAAATACAAAGAAAGAAAAACTTAAAAATAACATGCATCTATCATTGCTGATAATCCTTTTACTATAAAAAATATATATTAAAAAAAAAACGATTAAGCGTAAAACAACTGAAATTTTTTTTATATTTAAAAATTATGTATGATAATAAAGGATTAACAACAAAAATTTAATTTTTTAACTTGTATCGCTAGTTTATATTAGATATAAAACAAGAATAAACTTCGAAGCAGTTTTTGCTACGCTTTCTTATAGAAAAAAATCAGCATTACTATTCGAATATTTCGATTTGTTGAATAAGATAATTTCTTATTCGTGACATTGAGGCAGCGATGGAAGAAATTATGTGTATACATATATATATATATAAAGTGTTGTCATTAAATATTTTTAAATACTTATTTTTTAAATTTGAAGATTTTTTAATTTTAAATTGCAGTAGCACGGATACCATTTTTTCTAAACTGTAAAAATTATATTTGTTTTCAAGAAAATTAGATAAAAGTTTAGGCAAAAGACAAAATATTGATATTCTCGAAAAATCGTTAAATTTATTAGGAAAATATATTTCGACGAGAGGTAAATTTCAGTTCGAATTAAATCTACTGAAAACTTTGAATTCTCTAAAAAAAAAAAGATAAAAAAATCAAATTGATGATTTATATAGAGAAGGTGTATCTTATCTTATATATTATAAAAAGATATATATTTTTCTTTTCTCTGTTACTATCTATTATGTTTTTGAATTCATCTTCCAACGTTGCCAATACGCTGAAAAAAATTTTTGAAAAAATTTCGAGATAAAACAATTATATCAAACATGTTACGAAATGAATTAGTAATAGTTTGATTCGTCTCACTCAGGAACTAATTTCATTAATTAATAAGGCTAAAACTAGGAAGTAGAGCTTGGGTCATAAGACAGGCAGCAGACTGTGAGGAGGCCGATTCCTGCAGGTTCTGCCCGAATATTCTCTGCTCCATCATTTCAGTGAAACTTGATAGAAGATCCAATCTTCGAAAAAAGATGGGACGAAAGCGTGATCTTTGGTAAACGTGACCGGTACACACAATTGCGATAGGACTTCTTCATACATTTTCAAAGATTCTGGACAAGACGCACCATTTCCCTATATTCAAAAAAACAATATTAAACAACAATAAAATAAATTGATATCATATATTTACATTAAGATTCTATCTATATCTACTAGATTTCAATTAAAGTTAAGAATAGTATATATTAAAGTTAAGAATTAGTATATAATAAATAAAATTAAATGTTTTTTTAATCAAGATACTCACATGAGTCATATATTTTCCGGTAGACTTCAACACCTTCATAGAAGAGTTGAGAATTAGTCTAATAAAATCCCAGGCATCACCATGTGGCGTTGTGCTAATAGGAATATCCGTCAGATCGCCGAAGACGTAATCAAATTGTCGTCCTTCTTCGATCATATGGGCTAATGCTTTCACACAATCACCAACAATGATCTACAAAAAATGATGAGGAAGATGATGATGATTATTATTTCTATGAATTTAAGATCATAAAAATCGATAAAACATAAATGTTCAAATTTGAAAATGTTTGATTCTTAGAATTGAAGTGCACGAAAATTCAAGGTCTTACTTCATAATTATCGCCCTTTCTCTTATCTAGGCAGTCGCCACATATACTCCGCATGTGCTGGCTACAGGCTTTCATAACGATATCATCAATCTGTAAAAGATATAAAAGCAGATAGTACTTCGTTTATGAAATAACTTACGTATAAAATTCAATTCACATACTTCCAACATTGTGACAAACTTCGGTTTTTCTTTCAACAATTCCCATAATAGGCCGCCGTCACCGCCACCAAGTATCACTATCTCTTTGCCAGCGTAATTTTCTTTCCCTCGTTGCATCAGCGTTTCTGTATATATGAGATCTGCCTCGGACATGTCTGCAGAAAAATTTCTAGTAAGTTGTAAATAATAAGCAAAGTTATAACATAATGTGACTTACTTTGCAGCTCGTCGAGTACCAGCAGATTTCCTAGCGATTTGGAGTGCACAATTTGTACCTTCTGATACGGTGATCTAGCCTCGAACACGAGCTTGTCGATGTCATATTCCAGCAGTCGCTCGTCTTGAATAAGGGTACTCTTTATTGGCAATACTTGTTGCCAATTTGTAATAATGTTAATTTAAAAACATGCTTCTATACATTAAAAAAACATTGCGAAGAGTAGAAAAACAAGGTATCGCAAGGCAAAGCTGATAACACGCATGGGAACGTTAGCATCATAACCAGATGAAAAAATGATGTGAGGAAGTTGTAAAAGACTATAATTAACTATTAAAAATGGGCGCAACTTTGTCATGCAAGAACAGAACAAATAATGTCCTCGGGATTAACGCGGAGAGATGTTCCAGACTGAACCGAGCCGAGCACAGGTGCATATTACTAACGAGAGTAAGATGCGTCTAAAATCATAGATATTGTGAAGCCTAAAGTTTTAATTATGAATATTACATTTTAAATTGATTATATGAATTTGTGTGTGTGTAGCTTTTGATGAGTTTTCATTTTAATCACTTCAAATACAACTTTAACATGGTCTTCTCACTCCTAACATACTATTCACAAAAGACAAAGCTGCAGAGGACATTTACAACACTAATATTTACGAATCGATATATAATATTAATTTTCCAATCGGTTGGATTGTGTTCCTTAAGTACAAGCAGTTCCGTTGTAAGAGTCGTTAGCGGTCCGTAAACATAATTATAAATAAAAACTCACCGGCGGTAGGATAGTATCTCTCAAAGGGTCCACCGCGTTTAATTGGAGTAAGCGTGTGCGACCGTGTAGCGGTTGCTGCTGTCTGCAACGCCGTTTCCAATTCCTTGGCCAACTATCATAACCGGCCATCATCATCATCATCACCATCATCATCATTATCACCATCGCCATCATGATTATTATCATCATCATCATTATCATCATCAAGCCGAACCAATGAGAATTGAACAGAACAAAGACACTATCTTGTAAAACGGAAGCGCTACACTCCTTGTTGTTAAGGAAGCTAAAAAAAGGTGTTAATCTGGCAAGCCATGATATATGGCAAGGCTTATTTTTGTCCAACAAAATGGTACGTAAAAAGCGGTAAAAAACGGATCATGATAAAGGTAACTGTGTCTGTGTATGATTGTATTATCGTATGACGGAGCCGTACGATTAAAAGTAACGATCCAAAAAAACCTACACTGAAGAAAAATATTCTGATTGTATCAACAAGAAGTATGTACAAACAAAACGGATTCATATCATATCATTAGAATTCTGGTTAATTGAATTTTTTGTTATCTTCATTGGAATGTTTGATATAGATTTAACGAGTATTCGATTTGCACCTTTTTGGTTGAATCTACGAAAATTTCAATTAATACAACAAGACTTTTTTCCAGTAAACAAATCTAAGAAGCTAATAATTTCTGGATTTAAGGATTTATACATTGAAATATATTTCAAAAAAAAGGAATAAGCCATTATGAAAATAATATTTTAAATTTCATAAATATATACTGTAAAAATAATACGTATATATTTTTTAATTCTAAGTGGCAAAATCTCAATTTTTAATTAGTGTGTTTCACGGTATAAAATATTAAACGGAATCTTAATTTATAATACACATAAGAGAGAAAGAAAAATATAGATAACAAAAATCAATAATAATAACACCAGTGTTTATATGGACTTCCGACAGAAGTCAAATTGTTCGTATAGAAGTCTGTGTTTACATCAGATTCTTTGATTGCCTTTCACAGCGAATTATTCTTAGATTTCATAACGAAATACGCTCTGTGTATTGCAACAGTCGCCTAAGAACTTTTATTCGTACGACTGAAGAAAGGCAAGAGAATAATTATAAATACGCATTCAAATATTATGTATTTGAATGAATGGCACTTTTTTTTATGAATGAATTGAGTGCTGGGGAGAAAAATTTGGGCTAAACGTAACAGTGCTGGAAATAAAATTAAGTCAGCATTCCTGGCAAGCGGCCTATCCTAAATATCTATTAGTAACAGTCAATAGCAATATTGTAATTCTCTATGCCAAATATTTCACGAAATAAATCTACAAGTATGTAAAGTATGTAGTTGTGTTAGGAGAAGTAAACGAGGAACAAAATCTAATTGAGGGAAAGCGTTTTTCTACCTGATAGTGTCAGATAGAGATCATATATGGTTCCTCGTCTTACGGGCGGTAAACGCTTGCTGCGCTGGCTGTTCAAAGCCATGGCAACATCAGCTTCCAAGTATCGCCACTGCTACAACGTTCTGTCAGTTATGTCATATTTCCTACTTTCGTTATAAAAAAAAATTTCTGTACAGGATATTAAAATACATAATTCAAGGCTGATAGATACATTTAATGCTCAGAAACTGAGTAAAGAATATTCAATCGAAAAATAAACTTCTTAATGTTATGTATATTTTCTCTACTCTCTAGATATAAAAACTATCTTATCAGTTAAATATACGATAAGATAATCTTTTCCTTACAATATTGAAAAAATTTATATTCTCTTATATCACTTTGTAAATAAACAATTTCAGATTAAGTGCAAATGCAAATAAATTTCATTCGAATATATCTTTAATTCGAATACATTATTCCCACATACATGAATATAAATGTTATTCGAATATAATTTTATTTTAGACACACAAAATAAATTTATATTCGAATAAAAAATTATTTTTTATTTATGAATAAGATTTTATTCTTTATATTCGTTATTCTTTATTCGTAAGTGTGCCCAACTCTGGTCTCAGATAACAAGTCTTTTACATAAATCCAAATCATTCTATAAACTTGAACATGTTAACTCGATTCTATGCGTTCTATAAATCGCTTTATTTATACAAAAATGTTTATCAATATACAATTAATGTCTGACAAAAATATATTTTGTTATATAAACTTTAAGATTAACAGTACACTTCTATTTTCCACATTTATGTGATAACGGATATTTTTATCTATATACAAATAACTGTAATTATAGTGACATTAACTCTTAATAAAGACAAGTTGCACTTACATTATTAAAACAGGAAATTATTTTTAATTTGAATAAGATCAATTTCTCAAACTGTATAAAATATTTTTTTACTCAGTTTATAAGCATGATTATATCCCTTAAGTCTTGAACTTATTTCTTTAATATCCTGCATTTTATCGTTTTCATGTTTTACTTTAATTCAAGTTTTATCACGTAACGATTGATACGCCAAGTGTAATTAAGTTTATCAGATTTGTTACAATTCTCTAATGAAAAGTATGTTAGTTACTTTTTCTTTCTCTCTAAGAATTCATAAGTTGCCATTTGATTTATCTTTATTTTGTTTTGTTTCTTAAGACTTTGATAAAAACCCAGCCTAGAGAAGGAGTGGTGTTTATCAAAAGCACTAGCATTTGCTTTGCAACAGATATTTCCTGTATCATCCTTAACAAATTGTTTATCAAGATCTTTACATACCTCAAAAGTTAAGAGCGCCTCCTGGTCATCCTGCTTGTAATACTCGATGTTTAATGTAATCAGACCCTCCGTGTACCCTCTGACAGTGATTAGACTGCCCCTGGGTCCGGTATATAAAATGAGCAAACTGCCGTCGATGTTAGATTCTGTCAGTGGCTTGAGACCAGTGAAATGTTCTGCCAGTACGTTTGCAATCGCCGATTTCAAACCCGATCGTTTCTCCATATCGGCGATCACGCTACTGGACACTGTGAAGTCCAGGAGTACGGTATGGGCCACCATTGCTTCTGCAATGTATGAACAAATATTTATAGGATGCAAAGTCAATCCGAAAAAAAGAGACACGTCAATTATGCCTCATACTCTTAATTGTTCAAGGCCTTGTCACGCGGGCGATAAATCGTATATTAACAAGTCACGAGCTATGCGAAATTTCAGCGTGCGATCTCTTTTTTTTTTTTTAAAGTAATATACTTTACACGTCCATTCGGGTGAATAGAAAAAATAGCAGCCAACGGCGGTGGCATGAAATGTCCTTAATGTCGTCAACGCAAAGGGAAAACACATTACATAATTAATCCCATAGAAAACAGGAGCGTTGCTAGTGTTGGCGTAATGCGATAAGTAACGTAACACCGAGTAGTCATCGATATTCAGTAAATTAGCGGATGATTCATTAGCCGCCGGTCATTAACTTGTCTATACTCACGTAATTGTGCGATAATGTTTATTGCTCGGTCTGATCAGAAGCACGTCAATGTATTGCTCCCAGCGTGAAAGAATGACGCATGCACACACTGGCACAGAATCGGATGCGCAGGTTATCGGATGCGCACGAGGATTTCGCGTGATGGAACTTCTCATCTAGCGAAAATTGGCGAAAATTAACGAACCGTTTCGATTCTCTTCGATTGCTGGCGCAAATCGATGTTGCGATATCTCGAAGCTTAACGACCGATTTAAATCCGTAGATTAAAAGACGCACATTTTTTCTCACCAACTCCGTTCAGAGAGACGCTGACGCTATTCGCGCTATTATTTAGCGCTTCAAACTGTTTGCGGAGCTGCAGATAGCACTGATAAACACGATCATGACGTCATTAATCGTAGCGTGTTACGTCACAACTGCGCGCTATCAACGTTATTCCTTCCGAGGTAGTGTATTAGTAGCGTTTAACATTCGTCAAGGTTAGATTAATATTTGAGAGGAATCTGTTCTCGAGCGGCACTAAACTTTTCTTTCTTTAGAATTTCGTAGAATAAACGTATGTACGTAACATGTGAATATCAAATTTTATCGTAGTGAATGCAATCTCAATTTCAATCTCTGCAATTGATGGTTTGCCACTAGGCTGGAATGAATGTAATGCTTGCTTGTGTATCATTTTTGACTTTTTAAAGTTTCTGCAGAGTTCAACTTGGGTATTTGATTTCATTACAAACGTGAAAGTCAGAGTATCTTGTTACTGGCGATTTTTAATTCCCGTGTACGGAAAAAAATTACTATTGCGGTATAGCGCGGCAGGGTATTCCGCTGCAGATGCTTAAGGTCCTTATTAGATGTCGATACGCTTCTACTCAAATCGACAACGAATATTCAAGGATTCTTCCTTTTATGTAATTAATTTACTCAGTGTAACTATTAATTTTTTGATCTAGTTTACATTGTTCACTCCAGCCTAGCGGCAAGCCATCATAGAGCTTGCAATTGAGATTGCGTTTTGTTATTCACTACGAGAAAATTAAAAATTTACGTTACATGTACTTCACCTAAAAAACCTTAAAAATTTAAATTGCAGAGAAAAATTTGGTCGGTGATTGAAAACAGAATCCCCTACATTAACTTAAGTGGGCCGGGTGGTTTGAAGTAAAAAATCAACGATTTTTTGTGGATAAATGGATACAACTATCAATTTTAGATTTGGATCTATATTTTATTTGCACTTTATACAATAAGTATGAATTTTTATTAATTAAAATATGTAGAAATGTCCGAGAGGCAACAATGGCAGCAAACGTGTCCACATAGATTTATGTTAAATTGCTGACATTGTGCAGCCAGAACTAGTTGTCTGTAATAAAAAAATCAAATTTTGATTTGTAATTAATAATGTTGAATGTATACGATAAACCTAACAAAATTATAAAAAAATCGCGATTTGTTAAAATTACTCCTTTATAAAAAAAAAAAAGATCCTTTTTTGACCATTATTTTTTCCATTAAATTGCCAAAAAACTATTGTTTTTAAAAATTTATTATTTTTTTAGGTTTAGAGTATGAAGAAAATAGTTGTAATTAACGTGTAAAAAGCGGCGATCTGTGCGTTAAGCTGTATTCTCTCTATAATGTCAGCAAATTTGAAAAAACACGTTCGAGAAAAATGCGTTTAAAGTTTTGAGTTAGAATACTTATGTTTTTTTAATACTTACAATAAATTTTTCTTATTCAGCGATTCCTAGGTCATAATATGATTCATCCTCTTGTTTGAACAGAAATGTAGAAAAAGACAGAAATCCGGCAGATGTTTCTTTGTTCGAAAAAGTAACAGCCGGAGATCGAAACTCAAACGCCTAATTTTTACCTGTGCACTATTTCAATTAATCGTGAATAACTATTAAATCTCTCTGGTTAAACGCTACCAACGTTACGCTAGGATCGTTCATGGAGTTTGCTAACGCTATCGCTCCACCAACAGCGTTGGTAGCGTTTGCGTCCATAGCACGAATAGTGTCTCTCCTTGTATTTGCTGTTCAGCAGAATTGACCAATCACGGTTAATCGGAGTTGGTGAGACCGGTCCGTAGTGTATCTCAAGAAACATTCAGTCTGTTCGCGTTGTTTGCACTTTTTGCACTTAACATCTTCGTTCTCTCTCTTTTCAACGTCTCAATATATATTTATCCCTTTTTAACATTTTTAGGGATTTCAAGCCACGCGAACAAAGCTTTATTACAAATTCATTACCATTATAGGCCGCTATTCATAATCGGTTCTTATTTCAAGAAATAAGAACCGATTATTTCGTCTTAAGAAATGTCCTCTCATTGGTTCGTGACATTTCAAGGCTGAACTTAAGACAATCTTGAATATAAGGGTTATGAATACCGGCCATTGTAATATCGAACACCAATTTAACTACCGTATGCGATAGGTTTTTCAATCGTATTGCATCATGATACAGGAATAAATCATACGTTGCATATTAACGATACAAAATCCTGTTAAATTGTTTTTGTTTTTGAGCACTGAATGCTAATGAAAATAACATGAGGCTAAACTTTTTTTAAATGTCGCAATATATCGCAGATACGAATATATAAAAAAAGTTATAATCATATATAAGAAAAGGCGAAAATAAAAGATTTGAGCAATAGATTTATTTTAAGTCATTTAGAGCTTATCCAATTAAAAAATATTCATTTTTTACTATAACATGATACACTCTCTTTATAAAAACACTAACATACCTTATATACATATGTATGTGTGGTAATATAAGATATAAACAATTTGTATATGTAAAACCAAAAATATTATACAAGACTTTTTACATCCTCCATTGTGTTCTAAGATTAATCGTAAAAAATAATTAACTATAATATAAATTAGAAAATGTATCTTATGGATGCATTTGAAGACGCTGCGTGATATCGATGGCGTTACAACTACTCCTCCGTGTAATTATATTCCTGCAACAATATACGCATTTGTTCTTTTCGTTTTTTTTTCAATTCACATGATATCCGATGGGATTGTTTTGTTACTGATCGACGTATAGAAAAGAACACACAGTGATGTTACTTGAAACATTGTATTTTAAATCTCTACTAAAACACCCAAATATCATCCACAAAAGTTAAACAATTTCTAAAAAACAATCATTTATAGCTGTACATAGTACACGAAATTTCATTTAATTGTGAAAATATAAATCAGTATTAAATAATTATATTAACGCTCTCTAAAAATTTATATATTATTTTGAATCATTATCATTATCATTATCTTTCTTTGCTCTTCCTATACCATCATTCGCACAACTAAGGCACTATTTATGTAAATATATTTTATTCAATAATTTTACAATGATAATAAACTACTCTATTAGCCCATTTACATTTACGTATAACATAAAATGAATTATGTGCGGTTTAATATCTTTTATATACCTTCATTACAGCTTTGATTCCAAATGTAGCGAGTACCCCGAGACCGAACATAAGTATATACGGTATATACTTCAAAAGGGGCAGACTAGGTCTTCTTTCGACCAAAAGTTGGAGCAACTTCAAATTTGCATCGGAATAGGGTGGAAAACGGGACCTAAAAAACATATTTTCTGTTTAAAACTAAAATATTACTGAAATATTAATATATTAAAATGTGTTCATAGTTTAAAATATAGAATTATCTTATTAAATAAAAAATAATTTATTTACTTAGCTATGATTTCTGCAATTTTGTTATAATTCCGAATCAAACAACCTTTTTTATGCGTGAATGTGTCGAATGTGAATTTTCCATGGTAGGCTCCTATACCAGAATAACCTACTCCTCCAAAAGGTAGAGATTCAACTGAGAAAATAATATACATTATTAATGCCTGAAATTATGTAACAAAGAGAAAACAATAATTTAATATTAATGGTGGTTATATAAACACGTAATTATCGCTTATAAATTTGTTAATTTTTAAAATTATTTTAATCAATTTGGATCGAAGATTTTACGTTAATAGTTCTAAATTATAAATAAAACAATAATTAAATGTTACAAATATTAACAATAAAAATATTGAAAATGTATAAAAGATTCATCATAGGTTCAAAAGAATTTAATGAGAAATAAGAGTATCAGTTTTTAATAAATGTTAAGAATGCAATAATTTTTAAATAACAAATCATTAAAATCGATTATTAAACTTCCATTTCCACACAGATTTAAAGATATATCAATAGTATGTACAGCAACATTATATAGCAATACATTTATATATATATTATGTCTTTAATATTCGTCTATGAATGAGTGCCCAATTCCATTACCATTTCTTAAATTATTTTAAAATCAACGGAGAATGTAGATTTTGTGCAAAATCTAATATAATTAAGCAATAAAATAAAAATTAAAACATATATTGCAGAATACTACTCATTCAACATTAAGCGACCCAATCTAAAGAAAGCATGCTACGTCTAATACACTCTCTGTTGATATAGAAGCAACGTAACAATTATCATAATGCTGTTTGAAAAAAAGCAGGAATATACAGTCAAATAATTTGTGTAAAAGAAACTTTTTATAACATTACTAGAAAAACTACCTGCTGCTTGTAATATCGTATCATTGACACTAACGCCGCCACTAGATGTATTATTAATGAACAAAGATACAGTTCCTTTATCCAGGCTAAATAAATACAACGACAATGGCTTCTCCCTGTACGTTAAATAATCAATGTAAGAACATCGGTATCATTTTTTTTTGTGAAATATGTATTTATACGCGTGTTATGAATGCACACGTGCATGATATGAAGTATGTGCACGTGTTTGCTCGCATGCGTGCATGTGCATTTGCGCGTTGCTAATAATAATGAATACTCGAAAACACATTATAATTGCAGATCATCAAGTTTATACATTAATGAGATGTGACTGTAGCTTTTCTTTGTAATGTCAATTTCATGTTAGTACTTGGAT